CAGCCAAATGCCATCACTACAGCCACTCTCCCCGAACATTTTGCTGAGGGTTTCAGGAATACTATTTTACCACTTTTCTGTCACAATTTTACTTCCGCTGAAATTATAAAATGACTTTCTTGTACAGAATGGTGACTACTAAGGTACCAATGGTAGTGCCTTCAGTTGATCTATGGCTGGGCTTTTAAATAACCACCTTTCCCAATCCCAGTCCATGCACTCATTCTGGTTTTATCTAGGCAAGGGCCAGGCTTAGGAATCGTTTCTATAGAGGTTCTTTTAAAAAAATCAGGTTGACTGCTAGAAAACAAATTCCACAGAAACATAAGAACTTTATTTCATTTTATTGAGACTGACAACTCATATCACATTGCTTTTCCAAAGAAAATCAGCTGGGCAGTTCCTATTCATTTCCAGGACCATCTTTGTGCTACAGCATAGTTTAGAACAGAGGTCAGCAATCTTATCCGAGTGTAGGGGTCACAGACATGCAGCTGCCATAGTGTTTTGAAAAGAAGAGAAAGGAAAATTCTCATTGATGAATGAAAGTAAATCAGGAAAAAAGGGGGGGGGGGGTAATAGCTTCATGTGTTTTAGCTTTTAAAAGCTATATGGATTATAAGAAGAAATTTATGGGATTTAATTTGCCCCTCAACATGGCACACAATGAATAAAATGAAAAAGAAAATAGAGCCTCCAAGGACTGGTATGGTTTATCTGAAAAAAAAAATTAAGCAGCTTTTGACTATAGAAGTAGTTCAAGCACAGAATATATATAGTTTTTCTTCTTCCCAGCTTTACAATTTTTAATTTTAGAAAGTTATTGGGGAATTAGAGTATTTTTTGTAGTTGAATTATATAATGTCATTACCTAACCAGAGAATGCAATGAAGGCAATAATTCTGTCATGAATTGACTCTAATAAAAAAAAGTGGCCTATAGGAGTCTGATCACAGCTGTTCAAAATATTGCTGATAGTTTACTATATACCACAACATAGAGAGGAAATCAATGCAATCACAGCTCCTCCACCTATTAGGGGTGCTGCTTAAGGATTAAAGTGTGCCATTAAGCAAGATAGCTATGTGTTTATCCTGCATTCACAGTTTAAGGAAACAGAGCAGGGTCATAGTACACCAAGAAGTTGCTGGAGAAATTTAGTGTTTTCAGGATGGAGTATAACTATGACAACCATTTTAAATAGCTATAATGGTGTCTATTTTAAATAAATATGTTAAAGTTAAATGATTGCAAATTTACAATGTATTTGTCAGGCATGCCTCCTTCAAAATCCAAGAAAGAAAAACCTCAACTCCATGTTAATAGAGATAAAGTACTTTTACTAGATATGAAGTAAAAGCAGTTAAAAGGGAAGCAAGATCTGAGCCAGAAAGGCAGGAACATATACATATCAAATGTTTACCCAGCATCCTCCCCTCAATTCCCCAACCCAGTGTCCAATCTGCAACTTCCTAAGGTGTCAGGTGGGGTGCATCTTCAAACAGCCTCATCAAGTTGGTATGTGAGAAGGTTGGCCTTGACCAAGTCCAAACATCAGCCACCAGCATGCACAGAAGATGGTGAGAACAAGACTCCTCCGGTACAATATAATTCCCTTCCCCAATACCATTTCCTCCCCCTTTCCTATGGCAGCCAATAGCAAGCAAGCATAGCAAAGCA